CAGGCTGGCTAAGCAGTCGCTTGTAGTCGGTCTCACGTGCTTCGCTCCAAAGTGTCTGTGTACGCAGTCGGGTGAATAGAGGGCATTTGGTAAGAACATGGTTGGCATCCTGCCGGCCGAAGCCGCAGTCGCACATGGGTGAGTCGGCGATCTTGACGTCTGCTAAGAAAGTGCGCAGGGCCGATTTGCCTGACTGTAGTTGGATTAAGGCTGAGCTCCATGCCTTATGAAGCCCCGCATGCAGCAGTAGAAGCGCCTTCGTCGGCGCAGTGAATATCTGATAAAGATCCCGACCGTGCTCGGCGATCTCCCACTCTTGCTTCCACCGTTCGGCGAAGCCCGCGCGCAGGCGCTGACGGCAGACCGTCACTAAGATTATATTCTGATGCTGAAGCATCAGATTGAAGGTCATACGCGCGGCATGTGGCGTTGCCTGGCTGGGTGCATTGATCCGGGCACGTCTCTCCTCAACGCGAGTGCGGCGAATTGCTTCCATTGCGGCGAGCTTTGCTAGTCGGTCAGCTTCCTCGTTGCCAGGCACGCCCTCGTGGCCTGGCACCCACTGTATCCGTATACGCCAGTGGGCCTTGTGTAGACGATCTAATTGTTTGACGATTCGCTGCACGATATGCTGGCCTGATGAGCGCTTGGGGGCTCCACAGGCGGTTATGGCGGCCTGGTTATCGGTGTAGATCGTGGCCTCTCGGGGCCCTGCGTAGTCAGATTGCTTTGAGAGGAGTGTTAGCGCCTCGTGAATGCCTTCCAATTCCCCTGCGTAAACGGTGTGTGTGTCGGCGGAGCCCACAGGCGTGCTGACGCTCCCTAGTGTAGAGTGCGCTGCGGCCCCAATTCCATTGTCAAATCCACTGCTATCGGTAAATATTTGTATCGGGGGGTCTGTTTTCTCAATTCAGCGAGTGCCGCCTCACGGTCCTCGCTAATCAATGTCTCTGGCGGCTGCCACCAGGGGGAGTCGCGAACGGCTGGATCAGCTCTATTCGTTGGCACACCCCCCGTCCCAATTTGGCGTCAACAGCCGCTTCCAAGCGGTGTAGGGGGGACGTGTATGCGTTGTTCCGGTGCGCATCGCCTCGGATTTGGTGCAGCTTTGGGCGGATCGGCGAAGTCATGATGCGCAGGCAGGCCTCTTCGGCAAGCCGTGCGAGGGTGATCTCGGGCGGGGGACGTTCAGGCAGACCTCAAGGGCCTGCCGGCTTGTGCGGCGGAACGCCCCGGAGATGCGCTGCAGCGCCTGGTACTGAATCGATCGAGCGGCCTTCTCGGCAGCGTTTTTGGCGGCGTGGAAGCCATAGCCCCCGCGTACGTACCATGTCGAGCATGCGTACATGATCTGAGGCAGCAGCACGGCTGTGTAGATCTTCCGTAAATGGACTAGTGGAGTCCCCCAGGTGGATCCTGCGATTGAGGCTATTCCAGCGACGAGGCCTGCGGCTCGCTTCCTCATTTGACGCACCTGCGCCATGCCAGTGAGATTGGAGTCTAGTTGCACCCCGAGATATTTGATGGCGCCAGTTGGCGCGATCTCGACGCCTCGTAGGACGAGGGGGGTGTCGAGGGGGGAGTCCGGTTTGGGCACGCTACGGTGCCGCCGCCAGAAGTGCGTCAACTGGTATTTGGCCGGTGCGAATTTGGAGGCATGTGTTCGCTCCCAGCGCTCTGCGACCTGGTGCGCTTGGGAGAGTGTGCGGCAGTTGTCAGCGGCCGAGTCCCCGTATGCCATGATTAGAACGTCGTCAATGTAGCCCATGGCGAGGGTGCCAGGGCATTGGCTTTGGATATCGTTAATGAGGTCGGCATTAAAGAATAGGAATAGGATTGGTGACAGGGGGGACCCCTGTGGGATGCCAGTGTTAACCGGAAATCTGCCCATGTCGCCCTCGAGAAGGATGATTGATGTGCGGCGTTCGCTCAGAAAGCTTTCAATCCAGCGTACCAGGGCCTCCGGCACCCGCCGCTTGCGTAGATCATGAAGAAGTCGCTTATGATTGACGTTGTCGAAAGCCCCTGAGACGTCTAGGGCTAGCCCAGACGCTACCAGAGCCCCCTCGCGCCACTCCGCATGGGTGCGTTCGAGTAGGAGGTGCAGGGCATGCTCGCACGAGCGGCCTCGGCGTCCTCCCATATGGTTCCTTGGTAGCAAATCATAATATTCTACAAGATAGCTCAGCCGTGTGGCGAGAACGGCCTCAAGGGCCTTCCCAATCGTGCTCAATAGCGCGATTGGCCGGTAAGCTTTGGGGTCGGTGTAATCTGGCTTGCCTGGTTTACGGATCACTACCGTGTTGGACTGCCTAAAGTGGGCTGGACAATAATGGCAGATGATACACGCATTAAACAGGTTAGTGAGGTAGTCATCGATGATTGGAAGGAGCTTCTGGAGCACAAGATTAGGGATGCCATCCGGCCCCGGGGCCTTCTTCGGTCTCACGTGACTAATCGCGGCGTGCACTTCATGGATTGTGATTGGTGGCATCTCTAGCTGCTTTGAATAACGGTATTGATGCCCTATATCAGATAAGTCAGCTTCGGGGGGGTTAGGGTGCAGCACCGCACGGAGCAGGGCCGCCTTGTCTTGGGGGGCGCTGTATTGACGGCCTTCATAGTATAGCGTTGGGGTGAACGTTGCACGAGGGGACCCGCGCATGCGCACCCATCTGGCCACCTTCCAGAAGCCCTCAATGGACTGCGTGGCTTCCTCAATGCGGCTTCGGTGTAGTTCACGTGCGAGGCGTGACGATTCCTGTTTCATATGTTGCTTGGCCGTCTTATATGACTCCCATGCACGCTCTGTGTTGGCTTGCTTTGCAAAGCGTCTGCGTCGGGTCACTTCCTGTTTGAGTGCGGCCATCTCGGGGGTATAGCCAGGCCGGGAGTATAGTGAGATCTGCTTCCATGGCGTAGCCTGTTCGGCTGCGTCAGTGATGGCTTTAATTAAGGTTGAAATAGCGCTGTCGATCGCTTCCTTATCAGGTAAGTCCTGCGGGCGCCAGCTGCGGCTCTCTATCAGCTTGATGAAAAACTCCCAGTCTGTGGCATCCCACTGTCTGCGGCGGGCCGGGGCGGCTCGGGCAGGCGAGAGGTCAAACTCGGTGTGGATTGGCACATGATCTGCACCGTACCACCACTCCCGGCGGTCCTGACAACCAATGAGGCGATCTGCCAGGGCGTGCGAGGCCCAGACGAGGTCAATGGTGGTCTTGGCGTCGGCTCTCTCGTACGTCACAGTGCCTCGAGGCAGCAGTTGCTGCAGGCCGTGCGCGTCCGCGATGTCGATGAGTTTGGTGGCGTCGTCGTCGATAGCTTCGTAGTCGGGGGCCGCCCAGAGCGGGTGGTGCAGATTGAAGTCGCCTAGGGCGACGTGCAGGCCAGGGCGCGTTGATATCGCGGCTGTGAGGGCCTCAAGGTTTGACTCGCCAGTCGCTCCGGCGCCTGGGTTATAAATATTGTGCACATTCACCACGCCCAAGTTGGTATGGAGCGTCAATGTTGTGAGATCTCTGTTATGGTGGTGCACCTCCCACTTCGTGGCGTCGAGGCGCTTATTGATGTAGAGGCACACCCGGGGACGGTCATCGTAGTTGGCTTTTGGTGTAGGGCGCAGTGCCACGTGGAAGCGGCCCTGCAGGGCGAGTGAATAGGTGATCAATGGGTCTGTAAGTTTGTTGATATAAGGTTCTTGGATCGCCAAGATGTCGTACTCCTGAAGCTCCTCCTCCCCGAACAGGTGCATCTGCACCTCGTCACGCGATTTCCAGCAATTCGCCTGTAAAATATATAACCGATTTGGGTTTTTATACATTAAGATAGGTTGATTAGGCCCACGAACTGTCTTCGAGGTTAGTGGTCATTGCTTCGTCAGTGGGGCCATAGTTGGGGTCTCTGCGGGTGAGGCTCAATTCGTCGTCGGACGACTCGTCAGCGGCAGGGCGTGCGCTTTGGCGGCGTCGCACCTTCTTGACTGCGTCGACATTGGCCGACTCCAGCGAGGGGGGGTCCGCGGAGACAGTTGAGGTAGAGGTTCGTGCGTGATCAGTGAGTTCACGTTGGCGTCACTCTGTCTCTCGTCCATGGGATCCTCTCGATCCCGCATGGCCTTCTTTGAGGATCGGGTTGTTGGCTTCGCCGGGGCTTTAGGGCTATCAGGTTCTGCGGCACGCTTGCGGGTGGCCGTGCTTTTGCTGCGTGACGGGGCGGACCGAGTCCGCGGGATTGGGGCGCTTCGGGTGGGAGCTCTGGGGCTGCGCTCCATGGCCACTTCGGCCGGGGTAGGGTCAGCAGTCGGATTGACTGCGCCTGGCGAGGCCATGCCTGGTCTCGCGACTGGCGCGTGGAATTGGGGCCCGTGGGCGCGACGCTGGTGCACCTCGTAGAGGCAGGATGCCCGAATTGGGCACTCCCTCGCGAAGGCGTAGTGGCGTTCGTCGTGCTTCTTGGCTGGATCTTTGATATGGGTGTTTTCTTCGACGCAGTTAGTGCACTTGGCATACTGCTTGTCGTGGGGTGTGGAGCAGTCCCCAGTATCATGGTGGCCAGCACAGTAAGCGCAGCAGGCCTGACGTCGGCAGTGTTTGGCGATATGCTTATACATTTGGCAATTGAAGCATTGTTGCAGGTTGACACTCTTATCATAGATCGTACATTGGTGCTGTTTCCCCTTGATAATTAGGCCTCGAGAGATGGCAAAGTTGGCGACACGTTCGTCATCGAAAATGACGACCAATTGTGACTGGGGGGGGCTTTGTTCTTTAAGTTTGCGCTCACCTAGCAACCACCCGGTATGGGTGATATTGATCGGTGCAGGCAGTTGGGCGAATACAGGGGCATTTTCCGTACGGAGCGTGACCTTGAATTGGGCCAGTCTGGGGTCAATGGAGGTGTCCACGCCTCTCGCGACCACCCCCCAAGTGCGTTTCCGGATCTGGACCTTGTCGCCAAAGGCTCGGGTCCAGGCTGACTTGCGGGTCAATTGATCCACGTCGTCAACGGTGCTGCAGAGTAGGGCCATGTCTCCGCTAGGGAGGACACGGACTGCAGCGAAGCGCCGGTGGGAGATGGTCGGCTCTTGAAGCGATTGAACCGCTTGATTGGCGCGCTTGACAACCTCATCGAGGTGTCGGCGCAGAGGGTTGATCACCTCGCTATCAGTGCGTTCGAGGTAGATCTCGAGATCTTCTTGGGCCGGGTACGGGGTCAAAGGAGTGCTGTTGCCGCTTGACAGGCTGAGGCTTGGAACTGTAGGGGGGTGCGAAGGCACCTTGCGTCCCCAAGCGTGGACATAGGACTCGGAGCTGCTGCTCCCAGTCACGTGACCAAAGCTCATCGAGGTTTTCAGGATGCGAGATCCAGGGGGTGAGGGAGCGCAAATGGCCTCAATCAGGCGGTTAGTGTTGCTTTTGGTCGTCAAGACCTCACGGGAGGTTTGAGACACTTCTTTTTGTGTCTTTTCCATGTGTGATTCGACGCGGGCGAGGCGATGCGCGAGGGCCTCGATCGTGGGTGCCTTGTGGACTCGCTGCGCGAATCCAATGAGGGCATCCAGAATCTGGTGAGTAAGGCCCGGCGGCAGGCCTGATTCAACCTTTTCAGCATGCTGTTTAATTGCTGTGAGGTCTTTGGCGATGGTGGTCGCATATGCGCGTATATCAGGATCTTCTTCGAACCGTGGTTCAGGCCACGGGAGCCCCTTTTTGCTCTTCTTCGCGCCCATGGTTCAACCACGGGGTTTGAAGAGGAGAGATTTGAGATAGGGGATAGTTGAGAGGTCTATTATAATTGAGATTCCTTCCCGCAGTACTTTTTACCTGAGGGGGTGCGTTTTCATCGGTGCGCGAGTTTTTTTATTTATTTTTTTTATAAATTTATTTTAAATTTTTATAATTTTTTTTTCTATTCTTAACATATCTTAATTTAATTTTAGAATTATTATTTTATTTTTTAGAATTTCTTTTTAATTATTTCTATTATATTTTAATTTCTACAAAATATTCAATTCTTAATTTAAATCCTTATAGCTTATTATTTTCAAATTATTATTTTAAAATATTAGATTATATTAGATTTTATTTTTTAATAAAGAATTATTAATATTTTAATTTATATTATATTATTTTATTAAATAAATTTTTTCTTTTTTTAATTTAATATCTTCTTAAGCTATACTTTTTTTTAAATATCATTCTAATATATTTATTAGATTTTTTAAAGCTTTTTTATTATATTATAATTTATTTATATTTCTATTTAAATTCTTATTCTATAATTTTATTTCATATTTTTTTAAGATTCCTTTTTTTATTACTATCTATCTTAATAATTTCTTAATATAGAATAAAGAATTATAAATTAATAATTATTATTTTCTAATAATTAATATTATTTGATTTTTATTCTTATTAATAGTTTTTTATAAAATATTCTTTTTATTTATACTTATAGTAGATCTTTTTTTATATCTTTATTCTTTTTTTTTAATTAATCATAATATTAAACTATATTGTAATATTTTTATTGTAATTATAATAATACTTTCTTCATTATAAAATATTTATTTAATAATTTCTTTAATATTAATTGTTTTTTTTATAAATTGATTATATTATTAAAAAACAATCTATAATATTATTTTTATTATTTTATAGAAAATTTCTAGTTAAAAATTTATTATTAAAATTATATATTTAATTATTATAATAAAGATTATTTATAATTTAAAGATATATTAATGTATATTCTTCTATAGATTATTATAAATTCTTTATTAATTACTCTATAAAATTATTTTCATATAATATAAATCATTTTATACTATTATTAATTAGAAAGCTAGATACTATTAATCTTTTTATTTTTTTAGTATTAATCTGTAATTTCTGTATAGTATTATTAAAAAATAATTTTTATTTAAATAAAGAATATATTAAGTATTCTAAATTTTTCTAAAATAATTCTATTTTATTAATTTTTAATCGTTATTTTAAATTATTAATTCATTACTAAACCATAATATTTTAAAATTTAATAACTTTAATAAGTAGAAAAGGTATTATTATCATCTAGATAATTCTTAGATTATAATTTAAATACTAAGAACTCATTGGATATTTATAGAAATATCCAAAACAAAGTCCTAATTTAAAAAATAAGAATTTAATTCATAAAAAGCTGCTTTAGAAGTGATTATATAATTAATAATAATTATAAAGAATTAGAATTAATCCTAAATATATTAGTATTATTAATAAAAATCTATTAGTATTCAGATATTCAGATGAAACCGAACTGAAAACCCAAACCGAACTAGACCCAAATAGGCCCCAAAAAACCATATGGTTCTGGACTTGGTGAACTGAACCACTTCGGTTCACTGTATATAGGACCAGAACCGGACCATTCGGGTTTCAGTTCGGGTTTGGTTCGGTCCGAACCGAACCAAATGACAGCCTACTTTTAATATTTCTAGAAGTTCTTTTTTTATTTCTAGGTTCTATCCTTATCTCTTTTTGTTAGCTATAATGGATTATTATAATAATCATTTTTAAAGTAATCAATTAGTAGATTTTACTAATTTTAATTTCTAGAAGATATTTAATTCTTAATCTAAGTTTTTATGAATTATTTTCTATTTATTATCTCAAAATATTAGATTATATTAGATTTTATTTTCTAATAAGAAAATTTTAATTTTCTGTCTAACAGTATATTAATCTATTAATATTATCTTTTTCTATTTTTTATTTTTCTAGTAATTATATATTTCTTTTAATTTAATATCTTTTTTCTAAGCTATATCTCCTTTCTATATATTTTTAAGATATCTTTTAAAATTCTTAGAATTTATTTGTTATAATATAATTTTTTTTAATTTATATTTAAATCTTTAATTTAATATTTTATTTTATACTTTTACATATACTTTTTTTTCTTTATTATTACTAATTTTAGTGATATTTTAATAAATAATAAAGAATTATAAATTGAAGATTACTATCTTATAGTGATTAATATTATTGATTTTTTATCCTTATTAAGAGTCTTTTATAAAGTGTTTTTTTATTTATATTAATAATAGGCCTTTTTTTTATATCTTTAATCCTATTCTTTCTTATTAATAATAATATTTATTTATATCTTAATATCTTTATTCTAATTATATTATAATTATTTTGGTTAGTGATTATATAATTATTTATAAGTTATTAATTTTTTATATTATCTTTATTATTAGATCTTTCATTGATGCTATCTAATTTTATAAAGTTTATTATTAATTTTGATTATTATTTTAATATATTTATTAATATTTAATAATTAATCTATTTTAATAAGTTTAGTTTATATTTCAATCTTTAATATATTTTTAAACATTATAATTTATATATTATTATTATATTTTGAAATTATAATGATTTACTTAAATTATATAATTAATTATTATATAGATCTAGTTTATCTTATTTAGTATAGTTATTATTCTATAATTTATATCTTATTATAATCTTTAAATATTAGACTAAGTTATTTTTTAAAACTAGTATAACTTTAAAAGACTTTCTTTATAATTATATCTTAGTCTATCTTTTACTTATTATAATAATTATTAAGAATTAATTGTATCTATTTTAAAACTTTTTTATAAAGATATTTCAAGATATAAATGATTTTATTAAAATTATTTTAGATTTTATTAATTTCTAATTAAGCTCCAACTTAGATTATAGATATCAATATCTTTAATAATTTTGATTTAGTATTTATAAAGAACTAAATCTCTAATTAGTTAATATATTCTTATATTGATATTATAACTTTATAAATATTTAATATTGATTATTTACTAATAATCTAGTTATTATTAGTATTGAATATTATTGCTTATCTAGTAACTTCTAAATATTTATTATAAGAATATTATATTATTAAAATATAATTAATAATTTATTTGAATTAATAATTACTTAAAATTATTCTATTAATATAGTAAAAAAGATTATAAATAATATTAAAGTAGAGCTATTTTATTATAAAGATAAGAATAGTAAAGTAAATCATTAAATATTAATAGTAATATATTATTTAAATATAAATATAAATATAAAATATAATTAATTAAATATATAATAATAAATAAATAATTTTATATACTAGAAATATTAAAGCTTTTACTCTAATATCTAGAACTATTTATTTTTAAATCTAGAAATACTTACTTTATTAAATTATATATTAAGATATATTAAAATAAAATATTAATTTATAATACTAATTATTACTATATTAATAATTATAACTAAATAAAAGTATAGCTGCTTTTAGCTTTATTTCTATAATATTCAATTATACTTAATAATAATCTTGTTTATTACTATTCTCTAAGTAGATCCCATTTAGTATCTATTTTTTATATATATAATCTCATTGGTTGCTTATGTAATAGCATCTGCTAACGTAATCCACCCCTGAACCGCCACTACCCCCGAGCCGCCATGTTACGAAACCAACATATGCAAGGCTAAGGATGGATTAGGATATCTTAGATTACTTCAGAACAAGCGTCTATTAAAGCAGCTAACACCATAGCTAACCAATTATTATAATCAAATACAGCCTGTTCATTACTTATATAAGATTATATATTATATAAGTATCTACACTTAGGTATATAATGAGAGTATAGAAAAAATATAAAAAGAATAAAAAAATAATTAGATATATAATCTATATATAATTAGATTATAAAGAATATTATAGGAATAATATCTATATAAATATATTCATTTCTATATATCTAGTTTATTTTAGTATAGTTCTTTAATATAAATTATTATAATTATTACTATTAATTATATTATAAGAATTAATAAGATAATCTTATTTAAAGTTCTATAATATATTAAGATATCACTTTTACTTTAATTATATTTTATCTCTATCTTATCCTTTAGCAATCTTTATACTCTGTTATTAATTATTTATAAAGAATCTCTATATAGTTTAATATATCATATTACTCCTTAATATAGCTAGTAATAACTAGAGTAGGTCTTAGTACATAATAAAAGAACTATCATCTTAATTTTAAAAAATGATATAGAATAAGTATTATCTTAATAAAATTACTAATCATAATAGATAATAATGTAATTTTAATATCTAATATTATTAAAGAATAAATATCTAATATCCAATCTATAATGATAATTAATCAATAATTATAAGAATAGATCAATTAATTAAAGAATATATTATATATAAAGATTAAGATTAATATATTAATTCTATTTAAAGAAGATAAGATCAAACTAAAGAATTATTTAGTATAAATATAGTTATACTTTTCTATTAACTCATATTTATTATATAGAGAACCAGACAAGATCTTAATAGTTTCAATATTTCTAGAAAAAGAAACTATAGATTGATTTAAATTCTATATATAGATATAATTCAAAATAGCATTAGATAATAGAGATAATAAGATTAATAAAATCTTTATAAACTATAATATATTTATTAAAAAATTAAGTTAATCTTTAAAAAAATTAACAAAAGAAATAATATAGTTTAAAAAATTTAATATTTAAAGTAGATTATATTAGTCTTAAACTATATATTAAAATTCTATTAAACCAGTTTTGTTATGGTGCCAGCTCGCCTGTCCAACCCGCCAACCTACTCCCCTGGTCTAACTGAATGTAACCATAGTTGCATTTTAGTGCAACTCTAATAAAAGCTATTCAGCTGTAAGAATCCTGTTATAACTCTTTAAGCTATGTCTTATTCTTAATTCTGTACTTAGCTCTATCTATCTGTCCGTCTGTCTGGTCTAATCAGTCAATTG